GCCCAAGAGTTGTGAGCCAAAAAAAAAAAAAAGAAGGCAACCCACGCAATAAACTTTTACTGCCTGGGGGGGGTGGTAGGCACGGTAGGCACGGTGGGCACGGTGGGCTCTGCCCCTGGCTGCAGAGCTCGGGCAGGCCACTCTACCCTTTGCTTTGGCAGCGAATCTCGAGAGACCCGGACGGGAAACAACAGCTGCTCACGTTAGACTACTCGACTACGGGCTACCCTAGGGTGGACTGATCAATGGGTGGATGAGGTGGCACCCCTATCCAGAATCAGGGAAACTACAGTACTATAGTGCCCCTCCCCTCCAAAAAAAGCTGTGGTGTCCGGGGCGAGGGGGGGGGGCTTATACTATTTCCAAAATCACATGCCATCCCTATTTCAAAAGCAAACACTGATGATGTGTCCATGGTGATGTGCCCTTCTGTTGAGATCGGGGGGAGGGGATAATCCTATGCTAAGAATAATGTCAAAATGGCCCCTTTACTGGACATCAACCCACCGTTTGAATCCAGTATCAATCATTAAAAGTAGGATTAGCACTGGCAAAGGTCTGCCCAATCTCCTTCTCCGGGTTTGCTTAGGGCCTGCTCGGCAACAACCGTTCCGTTCCGTTCGCCCATACAAATTGCCTTATAGTTCTATTCCATTAAACTTTTGCAAGGTGATACGGTGTGGCGCGCCCATAGAGCTACAGGAAGCAGTGGGCCGAGCATGCCCTGCACTTGCTAAATGAGTCCAACGTGATGTGCTTTCATGTTAGCGTTCAAAAGTGATGTGACAATGTTGCGACTATTGAACGCGGCCGTCACCTTCGAGTGATGAGGGGTGATGGACGTTGGAGTTCCCCGTGATGCCAGAGAAAGAAGCAATTGAGTAGCAGATTGATGGACTAGGTGAACCCAGTTACCTCACTCCCTGCTCTATGAATCTAGAGGTTGCGGCGCTCACTAGCTACTGCTCTAGAAAAACAAAAAGTACTTGGTCTAACCATCTCTGAAGCTTCCCATGGCCCTCGCTCCCTCGCTCGCACCGGTAGACTACAAATTGCAAAATTGCAGAATGCCCGAGGTCCAATGGATATGTGGGTGGCTATTGGGGCCAATTGGGTGAGATTGGATAACCATTTGTGATGGTGGGACCAGAAAATGTAGCAAAACTGTCCCCCCCTCAATTTGAGCAAAAAAGCGAAAATGTCCTGGGGAGGGGGGGGGGGTTTATACTGTTTCCAAAATCACATGATATCCCCTTTTCAAAAGCAAACACTGATGATGTGGATGGGATGATGTATTCAATGCACCAATATCCATGCTATGGCCACATCATCTCACACCATGGAGGAGCAAGATAGTACCTTCTTTGGGTCAGCCCTGCGTCAAGGCAATGAAAAGGAGAATATAGTAGACCTTACCAGGAGAGGCAACTCCAGAGTCCTAGTGTGAGGTCCAATTATCCCAATTCCAATGGTGTAGTCCCCAGGCCGCCGTTGGATAGTATGCCAAGCGTGAAGCATGTCCCCCGATTTTGCGATTGATAGGAAGCAACCAGCCGACAACGTGAAGTTCGGAGCAATAGCAGCCCACTGCTAGACTCAAAATTTGCACACAGACCATCCAGTAGAAGGAGGGTCTGATAACCTCCTCGCGACGGCTCCTGGGCCCATAGGAGTGTCCGGTAGGAGACGAGGATTTCCGAGGAACTTCCCCAAAGAACTAGGCTAGCACTGCCATGCGAGGAACATCGAGGGAAATTTGGAGACTCCCAGCTAGGAGAGGCGCACAAGAGGAGGTAGTGTTTTAAGGACCAATTGGGTAGGAAAGGAGCGGTGGGAATGTGAGCGGTGGTGGGTGACACCAGATTTCCGCCCCAAGATTTCCTGCAAAAATAAAACCGCTCTGGCAGCTAGGTTACCGTGTGTCGAGTGCCCCCGCGCAGGGCGCAGTGGTGGGGTGAGGGTCGAGTTTCAAAAAAACCTATCATAATTCAGCTTAATATCCTCATTTATTTCTCACATACAGTATTAAAAGACATTATTACGCACTTAAACATATGAGCAACAGCTATTAACCTAAAAAAATTGAATTTTTACCAAAGCTTGTCTTCAAAATGATGATGTGCCAAACACCGCCGTCATCCCGAACCGCATCTTGAGATGACAGACAGCTCAAATGACAGTGCGCCAAACAGCCAAACCATGATAGATGCGAGGATAAATGCGGGCCCGGGCGGTAGATCGCCAGCCACCCCTCTGAATATACTACTAGACAAACCCGGTACGAGGGAGGGCCGTCCGAATAAAACTTTAAACAATAATTAGAATAAATGGCGTTTGAGCAACAAAAACTTACCTGGTAACTTCCGAGTGACAGGTTGTGAGGAGACACGCAACCGATTCCCACCCAAACTCAGAGCGATCACTAGGAAGTTTATATATTGCAGCTTATGGCTGAGCAGAAATTCATTACAGTCAATAATTACACATATGTAAATTACAATACGAGAACGGGCACATAATCTGCTAGAAGCGCTCCCATTCTAAGCGAAAATGAGGAACTTGGTATCGTACAGTACCATATGATATGTTAGCTAATTGACTCAACATCACGATGCAACCGTCCCGACATCTGGCTGAACACTCAACCTCTCAATAGATAGTTACCAGGACCACAACAAAAAAAATACATAACCAAAACCAACACTCCGTATACCAGCCATTTGTCTCAATAATTGCCTCGGTCCTGTGTTCCTGTACAGGTATGGTGGGTTCGGAAGCGGGAGTCAAAGTTGCGGTGTTGCTTTATCACCCCAATAAAGCAACCACCTCCCCCCCCCTCACAATACCGTAAAAACTCTTGGAATCCACCTCCGCAGAAAGTGCTGATCTCTAGTTCGCTCACAATAAGTTTAGTTCAACAAGCCGACCGAATTGCGAATACCGGTCAACGAGATCTAATAAGCCTTGGATGCTGGGGCCTTACAGCTTGGGGAAAACACTAACTTTGTTTCGGGAGCCTTTGACTCGGAATCCGGGGATTACAGGGCGGGCGGAGGTGGTGGATTCCAAGAAGTTTTTACGGCACTCGAGAGCATGATGCCAGAAGTACGAGTACTGTACAGTAGGCCCCAAAGGCACTCCTAATTTTATCAGTTTAATACCCCCCAAGCCCATGGCTATTTACGCTTATTCATTGCCACTATACATTAGTACTTTTTTAAAAAAAAATTAGAAAAAAAGGTAGTAGAGGGCACTGCTGAAACTCTCGGGAATTGCTTTGCCGTCCGTGTCAGCATCTAAGACAGTGATGACTAAGGCACTACCTCAGTATCCTCCGCCGGCAGTGAGCCTAGTATTGGTAACGGTCTAGGTTTTTCACGTCCGCGAATTTGTAGTACTTAACAAAAGTCTCTTATTAATTTATATCTCAAACGACAAATACAGTAAGTTGGCAAGAAAGTTTCAGTTTCAAACATTAAGGGCCTGTTCGGTTGCAACTCATACCGGTATTTGAAATGGCATGCTTAGTGAGGAGCAGAAAATCGCATTATCAGAGGAACTACCAGAAGTCAAATCTTTGTATTCTCAGGTGTTCGGAAAGCCTGAGAGTCCTCGGGCGGCGAGAGGCTGAGCGCAACCCGATACAGACATCCTTTCCTCCAAGCTAATTACCTCATTTCCCGAGAGGGTGCTGCAACAAATATCTCTGATCATGTTGCTCACAGTTTATCGCGAATACTCCCACCGCTGAATCAAAAATTAAGAATACGGACACCACTAACTCTACGCACTTAAGGGCCTCTTGGAAGCATTCTTTTTTGTTGTTGAAAGAATTCGGTTGTGTAGCAATTGATTTCTCGTGTGTGGCATGTGTCTCTTATTATGGGCACGGCCTCCCCGCCTGGAGACTCCTTCGGCAAGGGCAGGGTTTTTTAATACATTTTTTTATCTCATTGTGGTTGATGATATTATGAGGTGTGTGGTTACAAGTAGAGGAGGGTTGAAATGGCATTTTTAGAAATCAACCCTTTGACGACCAAACACAACCACTATTTCTCTAGGATGCTATTTGTGGGAAAAATGGAGTTTGACTTCTCAAAACTCCATATCTCGTTGCAACCGAATAGGCCCCAAGTTCACAAAGTTGGATAAATTTCTCACTGCACGCGATCGATGTATCTATCGTTGAGCTGTTACCGTAGGGGCTCAGTAGGAGTGCCCACCTTGGCACGGTTAACGTACCCGATGGCGTAGCGAGGAATGGCACAAGGAAAATCTTTGGAAAACAGCAGGGTATCATACTGCACTGTGCAAGTAACCACTGCGAAAGGTTACAGGTTTTAAGGCAGGGCTTAGTAGCAAGCAGGGTGTGGCGGGAAGACTTCGGCGTGGGGAAAAATTGGCTGCTAAACTGGTGGAGGAGGTAGATTCGGACTTGCTTTCGCATCAATCCTGCACGATACCACATTTTCCGCTGTGCGATCGGGCAAGCTACCAGCACGAGCACCTTGAGACAGCCTTCTCTGGCACAGCACAGGCCTCCAGAAATCAGGTCCCTCTCTCACAGATGGCAGAATCCGTCCAAAAGAACAAACGCAGTGAATCATACAGCAATGATGCTAACGCATAAATTTAATACTCTCGTGAAATCCACCATTCCCAGTCAGCCTCCCGGGCAGGATTGGCGTTTTCCTGATATAGTGAGAGATCGACCGGCTAGGTGTGTCGGATCTCGCTAACTTTATTCGCAATTCTGTTCACCTGCCAAACCTAGGCTGCTCGACTACTCGAGTACGGTATTGGGATGACAGGGAGCCGGATAGGGTATGATAGCTCATCTCACGAGATTTTACGGCACCCGTACAGTTCATCGCACTAATACCGGTGCATGCCGTATTTAGGCGAACAGCGGGCGGCTAAGATGGAACATTTTCCATTGCAAAATTCCAGAAGTGCTTAGGAATGCTGGCACCGTGCTCGTACCATACTATTTAATGTCCAGGACATCTTTCCTCGAGTCAGGCCGGGTGTTTCCCCTGGACCCCTTACCGGGAGGGAGCCCCAAGAAGAAGCCGCGGGAGGCTCCTCTGAATAACTTAGCGAGAGGATACTCTGGGCGAGGCACAAACACGGCATAAAAAAGCAAAATTACCAAGCCTGTATCATATTACAAGACATGTTTGGGCATACAGTAGCGGCTTAAAAACACGTTGGGCAGAGTCCTCTTCCACATTTTTGCGGTGTCAGGATGGCGGGAGTTGTCGTTTTCACTTGTTTCACGGGCAGAAATGTATCGGCAATTGATCTGTTCGGATCCTCACTCTTGAGGGTTACCGGTATTTTTTTAGGCACACTGAATACTGATATTATTAGAGATCTCGCCGAGATGACCTTGTGGATTCATCAATCAATCGCATGCAAAGCTCTGTCGTTTCACCTTATCGATAACCAACCAAACTCCGGCGGGCCCGTTAACTGGCTGAACCAGCTTTCAAACGGTGGCCGGGGGACGATCGGTGAATCGCCCTTTTACCGATGGTTGAAATTTGAGGTCAGCCCATCCACCTACCCCTTGCGGTCCCCGCGAGCGGAGTCCTTGCGAAATGTCAAACGTGTGTAATATCATAGGAGAAAAGATTGCCTTGCAACTTACCCTATGTGCTCGAGTACTCGAGTACCGGTACTTGCACGAGCGTAGCGCGGTATGATACGTGCAGTTGCAGTCGGGTAACCCTAAGCCTCCGCTCTGCGGTAGGCTGCGGTACCGGCATTCTCCACACTCCATACAAAGAAATGTTCCTTCGCATTACATGGTGGATGTTCTGGGCGGAGAGAAATACCGTAACCGCCTTCCAATTTTCAACACCCTTATAATACTTTGCACTTGCCGCCCGCGACTTCGCGCACGCTTCTACCTGTATTTCCCCTGGACTCTAATCGACACTCATCAACAACCAATTTCCCTCCACCCCCCACTGAGCTGGGCCCCAGACTTTGAAGGTCGCAAAGTACAGCCTTACACTCTTGCTACAGAATGACCTCCGATCAGCATCACGAGTCAGCGCTTTCCGTACACGACGACCCGGCTGGTCACCCTGCACCGGCAAGCGTATCGTTACCCTATTCGAACAACAGCGAGAATGGAGATACGCCACTACTCCCCCCGGGATCCCAATCCCCAGCCGAGCAGGAGAAGCTTCGAAAGATGGAGGAAATTCTGCACTCGGACGCAAGTGCTTCCCCGCACAGATTCTCCCTCAGGAGCTAATCAGATGACAGATTGGGGTCTCATCGCTTCTCGGTAGATTAAAGCAGAGCATTGCGGCTTGTAGGGTAAGGCTCTCGGCTCCTATGCGCATAGCACCTATCTAACTATGGTTCTAGGATTTCGCACTATTTCTCAAGAGGCGGGCAAGTTTGGAGGAAGAGCACGCGCAGGGTTGATAGCCCCCCCCCCCCCCCACCACACACACTTTTTTTTTTTTTAGCACGCCGATTGATCCAACAGTTCACAGGTCTCAGAAAGATATGCCGAATGACCCATGAGAGCATCAGACGACCCGAAAGCCGACAGGGAACCTACGCGCGCTCGTTCGAAGAGACGACACAAATCCATGAACGTATCGCCGAGAATGGTATACAGTTTTCTCTTGCCCTCCACCAGATGCATGAGGACCTCACGGATCTGTCCAACAACATGGAGAGAGGCAGAAAGCACTGGAAACAGATTGGGTTGACAGTTGAAAAGAAGCTCCATGAAGCTGAATTGCTCGTAGACAAGGTTCGTCCCCCGAAATTGGCCACTCCGATTTTGTTGCTCACCTCACAGGCCAAGATCAAGTACGAGACTGCCGCGGAAGAGTGGGACCGCGCTCGATCCGGCGATCGCCGTTCCGGAAAGACTCCATTCAGTTTGAGGGGTACCAGGAATGGACCGCGACATGAGGAGGATCTCCAGCGCAAGGTTGCATCTGCGGATAGTGATTATCATAATAGAATTCAACTTGCCAATACGCATAGGCACGAAGCCGTAAATTCTCTTCGTCCACAGGCTGTACGAGCCTTGCGCGCGATGGTCACAGAGTGTGACGCTGGTTTGACTGTTCAACTTCAGCGATTCGGTATATATCTCTGCGGCGTTGGAGTTGTGATAGAGTTCGTGTGCTGACTATGCTTAGCTCAATTCAATGAGAAGCTTCTCCTTCACAATGGCCTTAGTGTGAGTCCCATCAAAATGGGCGATACGGATTCAAGTGGCGCTCAAAGCATGCGCGATGTCATCAACATGATCAACAATGACAAGGACTTTGAGAGTTTCGTCCTGGACCTGGCGAACAAAGTTCCCACTCAGGCCAGGAATCAAGAAGTTAGATATGAGCGACATCCAGTATGAATGCTCCTCCCAGAGATTGCCTCGTCGACTAACCATGGCGAGCAGAGTCTAAGCCAGCAAACACCTGGCGTGCCAATACCATCCAACGCCTCCACCATTCCTGTGCAGCCTCAGAACCATCAGGCCAACCAACCTCAAGGTATGCATGGGCACCAGCCAGATCGCCGTGACATGATGGGCCAAGGACAGGGCTTACAACAACAATCCCCAGGATTCGGAGCCGTCGTTCAACAAGCAGCAATCCTACCCACCCAGCACCCGATGCCCAATGCAGAATATTCCCCCTCTCAGTACGGCATGGATTACCCCCGCCTCAAGCCGGTTTTCGGAATTCCACTCGATGCGCTTCTCACCCGCGATGAATCCATTGTCCCGATTGTAGTGCTGCAATGTGTCCAGGCCGTGGACCTTTATGGGCTGGATGTTGAAGGAATCTACAGAGTTTCCGGTGAAAGAAAGCATGTTGAACGGATAAAACAGATTTTTGATAATGGTACGGTTGCTTGTGAGGCGAGACATACGCGACGCTAACATTACGGATAGACTCTTCAACCTTGGACTTTAGAAAACGGGAAGATTTTTTCTACGATGTCAACAGTGTTGCAAGCATTCTAAAGCAGTTTTTCCGTGACCTACCAGAGCCTCTCCTCACGAACGCCTTGTATCAAGACTTTATCAAAGCTTCACGTAGGTCGCCCCTGGCTTTTCAACGTTCAGGCTGATTGCGCTCTGGATTGAAGACACTTCTACTAATACAATTGACAGGCATTGATGATGAGACCCTCCGTCGAGACTCTTTACACGAATTGATCAACAAACTCCCGGACCCTAATTACGCCACCTTGCGAATCTTGATCCTGGTGGGTTAATGTTGAACCCGAGGATATCGTTTGGGTCAGTTTCTGATACGCATATATAGCACTTGCACAGGATCCAGGCAAACTCGAATATCAACCGAATGAGCACAAACAACCTTGCCATCTGCTTCGGGTATGCTGCGGTCCTTTGTATACTCGGGGGTGGATTATGGCAGCTGACAAATTACAGACCGACCCTGATGGGTTCTAATTCCTCCCCTAATATCGCGGACGCCACCTGGCAGGTTCGTGTCATTGATACCATCTTACAACACTGCTTCTCAATCTTTGTAAGTTTTCGTACTCTCTGCCCTTCCATGAATATTGCTAACATACTGTCCTAGGACGATGACTGAGTACCGAGTCACTAGACTTGATTGTTCACGCTTCTATACCCCTCTTGCTTTCCCCACCTTCCGTACCAATACCTCAAAGATACCCATTACCCAGAACTTGTACCACTTTGCATCTATTTCCTATGTTTAACCTACGATACTGTAGCCCTGTCCAATTTAGTTCTTAACTTCACCCATCGAGGATAATCCTGAGCCCCCATACAGATAGATAGCTATCACACTCCTTGTGTAAATTGAAGAGCATTTGTGCGGTAGCTCATTGCACCCGAGCCTGCTGCGCCCAGCACATGACATTTCTTATAATTTACAACATGCTGCCTTACAGATATTTGCAGTTTGATGGTGCAGTGTTAATGTCGTCCTGAAATGCGCTGGCATCGTACAGCAGTCACTCGCATCGCATGGCTCACCTACAACGAGGAAGGCGGAAGGCACCTTCATACCGACAAGTGCCCTGTGCCCAAGCTCTATGGCACTGAGTGTGACGGCCGATGAACTTGAACTCACTGTGCTATGCTATTATTCAAATTGCAGTAATCTACAGTTATTTCTACCGTGTCTGTCTTGTCCTTTCTTCACGATCATCTACCAGTACCGTCAGTAAACCGTATTCAACGCTCAGTGACCTTCCGCCCACTCAAGTCGCTGGTTTGAAATCTCTCTCCTATTTTGGTGGTGACCCACTGGCAAAAACGCGACCTCATTCCGGCGACTCGAGTAAGGTCACGAAGGTTATCCTGTCCACAACAAGGTAGCATTACAAGAGAGTACGGTATGGCCAAAGTGCACTTTACACTTCAGCTCTCGAACCCCTCTAAAAATATCACGGGTGGTGGGGGAAGGGAAGGGGGGTTTTTTTTCTTTGCACAGCAATAAAGTCCTCCCTTTGCTTTGCTCTCCACCCTCCCCCACCGGCAGCGCGGAACACATGTAGGCAAACCTTGTTTGCATGAGCCACCCACCACATCCACCGAAAGCTTCACTAGCGTCCACCCACCATACCGTTGCCCCTTCGTCCCTGCATCCTTCCTCCCAGCAAGCACTTTATGTTCCCCAAGGCACATACTATAAAGTCAGCAACGCAGATACCGAACAATGCCGTGCCCTGCAGCACCAGTCAGTCGGTCAATGGGGTCTGCAGATAAGGCCCTGGAGGGGCTGCTGTCCACTTACCATGATCTCAACAATGCCTTTGTACCCCGGGTGCCGGGACCGCCAACTCCGCTGGAGTTCCTCCAATATGTGCGAAGGAATCAGCCGGTCGTGTTTACCGGCCTCATGGAGGGGTGGGGGGCGCTGGAGCGGTGGAATGACAGGTATCTGAGGGAGAAGATGGAGGGGTGCGATATCGATGTCGCGGTTACACCTTTGGGGTTTGTTTCCTTTATCATGGTTATCACGCAACCTCATGCTGTACAAGTACCGTAGTTAACCGACTCAATTTTGTGGGAGCAAATAATAATAATAATAAAAATAATATATATATATAGGAATGCGGATTCAATTGTGAGTGTTGACGGAGTCGAACACTTTGTCAAGCCTTATACGAGTTCCGAACCCTTCTCTTCATTCATGGACTATATTCGATCCCGTCATGTTAACGCCTCGTCGACACCTCCTTCGATAATCAAGTATGCTCAGTCACAGGACGGGAATCTAGGCAAAGAATTTGCCGCGCTGGCGCCTGATCTACCGTCTTCCCTCGCCTTCGCTGACTCGGCCCTCTTGTCAACGCCCGACGCGGTGAATGTGTGGATAGGCAATTCCGATTCCACATCCGCACTGCACAAGGACAACTATGAGAACCTGTACTGCCAAGTACTGGGCAAGAAGAGTTTTGTTCTGCTCTCGCCTTTGGAGGGGATATGCGTGCGGGAAAAGTCGCTTCCCGTCGCCTCTTATGATTCACAGGGGAAAGTGGCTGTGGAGAAGGGGCAGAGTGTAAATGGCTGGCCGAGTGTCGATCCTGATGTGGGTCATTGCGGAAAATGGTGGGGGAAGGCGAGGCCGATGAGGGTGGAATTGCACAGAGGCGAGGTTCTGTATCTACCCGCCCTGTGGTACCATAAGGTTTCTCAGGAGGAGGGGGATGAAGGAATATGTTGTGCTGTTAATTACTGGTGAGTCGGTTGCACACTTTTGGGCCGGTTGAGTTTGTCGTGCTAATGGACTGATAAGGTATGATATGGATTTTGAAGGCCCCTTTTATTCCATGGTTCAATTTGTGAGAGATTGTGCAAAGGATTGCGAAACCTTGGAGGGAGGAGATGAGCAAGAGGAACACGGCTCTCGATAACAACTCCCATTCTATATCTCGGTTTTAGAGCGAGTAGATCAGAGCAGCTTTGTTTGTTAAACTATGATATGTAATGGGGGACCGGAGATCATCGGTTTTGCCGTGAACACATTCGTTAGGTTACATTTGAGTTCATGCCTGGCGCCACAGGCGACTTTAACGATACGGGAAGGTGCATGTTTATCAAGAATGATATTAACTTGACACCCAGCAGAGCTGACGGCTTCAACCGGGGTTACGTTGCGTTAATAATTGGTTTCTCGCTTGCAGGTCAGTCGGTTTAGCCGAACCACATCATCTCTCACCAACTGCAGCGGCAGCAGGCAGCACCTTTCCCATTCATTTCGCCTCTCGACCACGCAGCCAACCAACTCCTCCACCACCGGTTGAGCTGCCACCACCCCAACTACACCTATCACCAACATCCTCCACACCCCCCCCCCCTAGTACTACGGGAAAGAAAATTTCTTGAACCTCATCCCTCGTTCTTTTTCCCCGATCACCAGAGTTGCCAAAATCGATGTATGTCCAGCCCCCCTCTTGAACAAAACACCGCACCCGTTTCTTTCCCAATAACTGCACCTTTGGGGGCTTCCCTCGCTAACTTGGACTCTGGGATTTTCACGGTTTCCAGTGAAAATATCCATTAGGTACGTTCCAGCTAGTTCCAGCCCACCACTTCCCGTACTCTCGTACCCCCGTGCTCCTTATCCGTCACCCCCCTACCCCCCCGCTACTGCTACTGCAACCCTCTGTCCGTCTTCCTCCTCCTCCCTTACCAAATTTAAGCGCTCTCCCTGCCCCAGTCTTCCCCCCGCTGTTCTCCTGAGGAAGAAATAACTAAACAAAAGAGCATCAGACTGACCACGAACTTGTTCCCCTTTTCTGCGTAGCAAGCTTCTAGTTTACCTACAACATTGATACCATGGCAGCTGCGACAAAGTCTCTTAAGGTTAGATCTCTCCGATTACCGTTCCTGAGCCGCATCTTCGGTTCCTTTCGCGATGACCCTATTCATGCATGTAATAGTTTTGCTGACGTTAGCAATGGGGGTTCAATCCGAATAGTGTGTGGTTACCGGTGACGGAGCGGTCGGGAAGGTATGGTTTTCCACTTTGTGTTTCCCTCGCTGGCAATTGCTGATCAAAAATTTGACATTGACTACAGACTTGTCTCCTCATTAGTTATACTACCAATGCTTTTCCTGGGGAGTATATTCCCACGGTGTAAGTCGCGGTTTAGAATCATTTTGATTATTCCCGGATTACGAGCTAATGCTTATCTCCTTCCTCTTGTGGATGTCCGCAGCTTCGATAATTATTCCGCCAACGTCATGGTCGATGGAAAGCCTATTAGTTTGGGTCTTTGGGATACTGCAGGCCAAGAGGATTACGACCGTCTGCGACCTCTCTCTTATCCTCAGACCGACGTTTTCTTGGTTTGTTTCAGCATTGTTAGCCCTCCATCCTTCGATAACGTTCTTTCAAAGGTTAGTCGCTATTCTATCCTTTTCAACCCTTCTGAGATGACGGGCCCAGAATTAAATTCTTAAATAGTGGTATCCGGAAATCTCCCACCATGCCCCTAATATTCCCATCATTCTAGTCGGTACCAAGCTCGACTTGCGCGATGATCCCAAAACTGTACAGGGGCTGCGTGAGAAGCGCATGGGGCCCATTAGTTACCCTCAGGGAATCCAAAGAGCCAAGGAAATCAGTGCTGTTAGGTGAGTACTCGACCAGCCAGTCACAAGTGATTTTTTTCTGCCTCCTTTGCGGTATTAACCTGCTCTTGTTCTACTGCAGATATCTCGAATGCTCCGCCCTTACACAAAAGGGCCTGAAAAATGTTTTCGACGAAGCTATTAGGGCTGTTCTTATGCCCGCGGCAAAAACAAGTAAGAAAAAAGCTTGTATTGTCCTATAAATCCTTCATCGGAGGGTTGATACGAGTTTTTTTTTTCTCCTTTTGAATTACAGTACCTTATGATTGTATGCTTGCATTAAACTGTGGTTGAATGTGCCTACTCTTTTTTACATTTGGGAGCTTGTCCAAGTCTAGTTTTTACGAGTTAAATTTTCCCGTGGGCAATGGTGTTCATTTTTATGTATGTTCTTTTTATTCCTCTTCTGCCGTGAGATTGTCCCCTCCCTTCCCCTTCCTCTTCGAACCCTTTTTTATTCGCTTCTCTCTTTCTTATTCAGATTTGCTTCCCCACAGCATTCAAGATGTGTACTGTAAAGGAGGGGCCGCAGTTGCGGTCTGCGCTTTCCTCTGGCTGCCGGGTCGGGGCACTGTCGGATATCGGATAAGCTTGTGTATCTATCTGCATAGTGCAAGCCTTTATGTCGTGACACTAGAGCGTATTATATTATTATACACAATATCTCGACCCTCATTTAAGCTTTGACGTTACCCCGTCTACTCGGATGAACACCTCCTTCACTACCACCTTCACCCTCAGCAGCTCTCTTGACCCTCTTCTCCCCCTTGAGCTTCTCCTCCTCCTCAATTCTCCTCTTGCGCTGGTCATTCAACCGCACGTTCTTTGCGCGCAGCTTTTCCCTCCGGTCCTTACTTTTTGCTCCGCCTCCACCGGCACTGCGCCCGTCCTATCAGCTATTTTCCGCACTTTCTTGGCTACAATGGAGGCAGGGAAAACGTACGTAAGCTCAACATTAATCTTCCTATCCAAGAACATGCTATGGTGGTACTTTGCTAGACAGGACTTCATGCGGTCGTAGGAAGTGAATTCTAGGAAGGCGAAGCCTTTGCACGTGTGCGGCGGATTCTTGCCGGTTATCAGCCGTATGCTCGAGGGCTGCAGGGAGGAGAAGTGCGATTGGAGTTGCGGGTGGGTGGTGGTGTAGGGGAGGTTTCCGATGAATACTATGAAACGGTGGGCGGGAGTTGTGGTGGTGTTTCCTTCTTCTCCCTTCCCTCCGGTAGATCCGTCCACAGTGGTGGGCGGATTTGATCCATTGGAGTTTTTCTTGAGACTTTTCCGTTTGGACTCTTCCTCCCTCTTCTTGGACCCTGCGGCTGGTGGGATTGTGGGGGTCCCTTCCTCAGCATCCGATACGTCGAGGTCCGAGATTTTGCGCTTCGGTTTACGCTTCTTCCGCCTGTCTTTTTCGCTGTGCCTGTCCGAGCCGGCTGCGGGATCGCGCTTTTTGTGGCGGGGTTCTTTGATTGTGGGCATTGTGGTGGTGGTTTGTGTTTATAGGCTGCCCGTCCCCAATGTTCTGCTCGCTTTAAGATAAAAATTCACTACGTGCCGTGGGAAGGGACGGGCTTGGCGGTGCTAAGTGGTGCTAGCGATCAAATATTTGTCAAACTAAAAGTTGCGGAGCGGGTGTTGAAGGCTTGTTTAGTGGGGCTTCGTCCGTACGAGTACATACTTGCTCCAGTGCGTGACGGTCCTTGCCATTGTTTTTTTTTTTTGTTTAAATCCGAGACCCAATATACAGTCACCCCTCGCTATCCCGGCCGGTCAAAATCCGAAGAATTTGTCTGGGACAGCGAGGGATCCGGGACAGCGGGTGAGGTTTTGGTGGAAAAGAAATTCAGAGCTCGCAGAAATTCACACGGGAAAGCGAGGTATCCGGACTATCGAGATCCGGGACAGCGGGGTGTGACTGCACAAAGGAAAACCGCCCCCTCAACTCTCCCCAAAACAAATATAATGGTAAAAACCACATACGAGTACATTCCAGCAGCACCGAAAACCATTTAATACCGGTATCTCATGAAGCCAAATCTGCGTTTCTCATGAATGGAAAATCCCATCTCCACCCGGAGGATTTATCCTATTTCTTCATAACATGTAAGCTCCCCCACCCCAGTTTCATTCCTTTCTTTCCAGATTTCCATGGCACAGAAGTGACGGTCCTTGCCAGTTAATGCGGTACTGTACGAGTACTCGTACCGTACTTACGAGTACAGCTCGTACAGTACAACAGGGCACTACAGTAGTGCAGTATTTAAATGGCTGCAACGGCTGCGTTCCTGCGTTCCTGCATTTCCACTCGAACTCCTTCATCCCCTCCAGCCGAACTCCTTCATCCCCTCCAACCGAAGGATAAAAGATCCTACCTACTGGCAACTCGCCTTTAATTTAAAGGCCCGGTTGTCAGCAAACCGATGACATCGATGGAGGGTGATGAACCTCTATTGGGTTGGTGTCGGCCAAACAGGTCTACTCAAACACCGATTGTTTGCTTGAGGTCTTATGGCTCGAGGTTTGTTGGTCCTAACCACGCATACTTTTTTAGATATGACATGATACTAATTAGATTATTTTCGATAGTTCTCGAGATATCGAACGGTCAAACGAGATCGGGACCGGCTGAGTTTGAGAACCATATGATGGGGAAGGCCATAGGATCTCTTACCAAGAGATGCTTTTACAGTACCGTGGTTGGGAGGGTGAGAATGTTATCTTAAGTTAACCCGGAACAGTACTGACAATTCTCAGAAAGGGCCAAAGTTCACCTTATAGGGAAGGTTGACGAGGGGTCCAGACGCAGGATGTCTGGATGAAATTATTCTTGGGGCTTTTTTGACAACGGTAATGATATTCTTTGGTTTTTCAATACCCCCTGAGTTGTGTTTGCTAACATAATTACTAGGTTGTGATCGAGTTCGCGTACCGTGGGAACTCGAACAATTGGCACTCGCGTTGGGACTCCCAAAACCCCCTCTCTCGGATACCGGTATGCCGACCTAGAGCTTGGAAAGCGGATTGATGGAAGTGTTTCCGGGACGGAAGGACGAATCGATCGCAATGTTTTCGGGACGGAAAAAAATTCAGGTTGGAAATGGATGCGATCAAGTCCATAATTCCCCTGGGCTCACATGAATGGAGCCAAGGTGAGCTAAAAATGATGTGAATATAAGAAAATAAAATAAAAATATAATTTCCACTTAATAGCCGGGTTCCCTCCTATTTTGATTTTCTTGGCGTAATAAGCTCTTGAGAGTAAAAAAGTAGTGTAAAATCTCGTGAAATCCGCTCCGGCCACCCGTTATCCCAATACCGGTAGTTTTAGTTTGACGGGTCAACAGAATTGCGAGTGCTTCCGATCGGGGGAATCCGAGGGGAACGGGTGATGGCTAAGTTCAAGAGTTTTTACGGTTAGCGAGATCCGACCCACTTACCGTATCTGGCCGGTATTTTACTATATTAGGAAATAAAACGCTCGGGGGGGGGCCTGAGGGAGGTACGGTTGCGGTACCGTACCACAGCGGATTTCACGAGATTTTAGAGTATCATAACATCATCATAATATCATACAAACATCACCAGAATCTTTTCTAATAAAACATTATTCTCCCTTCGCCACTCTCGAATCTCGCCCTCACTCCAGCGAACCCCAGAATCTCCATCACGCCCTTCTGCGCCTCCCGAACGTCAAAAACGCCAAATCCCTTCTTGTCGATATGTGACGCATCGATAACCACGTTCCTCAGTTCGTTCACCTTCAACGCGCCCTGCTTTATCAGGTCCAGCATCCTCCCGGGCGTTCCAACACCAATGCCCATCCGGCTGGTCTGACACGTTGTTACGGAATCCTTCAGCTTGATGTGCTTTGCAAACAGTTTAGCCACCAGACTATCCTTTGTCTGGTACTTGCGGACCGCACGCGCAAGGTCTGTGGCTCGGAGGGCGGCGGAAGTCAGGACTAGGGTGTGAGGAGTCCCCGGTGTCGCCGGCGATTTAACGAGTGCGAATTTGGAGACTAGAGATTCAGTCAGAGAATGGCAAGATGGGGAGGGTGGGGGGGCGAACAGGTTTCCAGGTACGCTGGGAGGTTCCCCAATGTCCTGGGAGAGGTGAATGACGTGGTATCCAAAAACGCGGATTCTGCAAGGATCAGCGACAAATCCCATTGCTCATGTAGACTGATCCCGATAACTTTGTAAGGGGGCCAACCGGATATGTAGCGATCATCCAATTCCACAGAGCTCAGGTCCTTCTCGAAGCGTCTCAAGCGCTGGGCGACGTAATCCGCCAGTAATCTCGGATCCATCCTTGCCATATCCTCATTGACGGGGTCACCCTCTCCGCCAGGGACGTCCGTCGCTGTGGACATGCTCTCCCGGCCCTTCCTCGTCGTCCCCTTCTTGCCCCGATGTTTGGGCGTGGTCTGGGGGGTGGTGGCCTCGTCGTCCTCCGACTTGGCCTTTTTGCTCATTTGCCTGTTGAGCTTTTCCCTCTCCCGTTTGCGCTTGCGCTTTTCCGCCATGCTGGGAGTCGGCCTCGCATCCATGTTGAAGTCTAAAGTTTCGGCGCCGGCGAGGACCACACCACCGCCGTAGTCGTCGTCCTCGCTCTCCATTTGCTGTTGTGATGACGATATTTCCTGGAGGAGAAAGAAATTGGGAATTGGTTGGCTTTTTCCCAGGAAATGGTTAATAATATATCGGTAGTCAAAAAAAACTATAAAAAAAAAAAACTATAAAAAGCTTCCCTGTAACTTACTCGAGGACAATGAAAGTGATGGAAGCCGGGTAATAGGGTTCCTCCTCACGTGGGCGCACACGCCCTTGCACTGAGATTGCTAGACTTTCCTCTTATTTTCGCGTTCGAGCTATGACACTGGTACTAACTTTAGTGTCTATTTACAAAGCGCATTGTACCGACAAAGAGGTATCATAACAACAACTTTATTACAACGAGCCAACAATACAACAATACGGCGGACGCATATATACGATGGAGAATAGAGATGGCAATGCCGGTGGACCTAGTGAGCCGCCTGGAATCGCTCCTCAGCATGCACCACCCACGGGACTAGCCACCGAGGAAACGAACAATGAAACTCCACAAGCTACTGTTTGCTCCCTCTTCCATTCAGGTTTTCCGATTTCCACTTCTAACCCACGTCACAGCTCGCGCAGCTGGCAAAAGTGGTCAACAGACCCGTCACACCCCCGCAGCAATCATCTGATTCAGCTGGGGCCGCATCGCAGAGGAAATCGGCCAGGAGAACCCCCGGCGCAGGAAGACTTGCACCATTGCCGAGCAAGCGCACCGCTAGATCTCCGCACGCCATCCGCGCGTTCGAGCAGCGCAGGGCGGCAACACCGGGGCGTGAACGTAGAAAGAGTGGGAGGTACCCAGCTGCGAGGGAGACGCCGAGGGATTTGTTGAGGGCTTTGAGTCGGCGTGCGTATTCCTTTGTTCCCTCCCTCCTTTCCCGTTGCGGGTCTGGCTGGGTTGCTAAAGTGAACCAGAACTCGCAACAACGTCCACCCAATACGTCCCCTCCCCGGCAGAACCGACCCCTCGCCCCGCGCCCCGCCTCTCATACTCTGACCGCCGCGCCTCGGACGTCGTATTCTACAGCGACCCTGGGCACAACTCTGAAGATGAGGACTCGGAGCTCCCGCCCGCGCCCAGGCTAAGCATGAATCTGAACGAATTCGAACAAGCGGAGGACGAAGAAGACACCCGTCTTCCGGTCCCGAGATATTCACTGCCGCTGGAGAATCTCGAAGATGTGGATTACACGCACACCTCGATTGAGTTTGGGCGCAGGGCGGTTACGGAGAGGCCATATCGACCGAGTTTTGGCATCAGGCTCAGTGATCGGTTTGCGGACTTTAATGGGGCTGCGGGGGGGAGTTCGCCGAGGACTGGAGGGTATGAAGGTGGAGGTCAGAGAGAGGAGGAGGAGGAGGAGGAGGGGATGGGGATGGGGGCTATGTGAGTTTTGAGTTTTTACTGTCCGTTCTTATTGTTGGAAGTGGCTAATTTGGGTATGCAGTGGTGACGAGAGCTTTGCTAGTAGAATGTCCGTTGTGAATGATGGCGATGGGGACGTTACCGGTGATATCACTGAGACTTTGGGTGGGAATTTAGATTTAGATGGGGATGAACCGTCCTTTTTCTTGCCAGTTCCAGAAGAGGTGGGAGAAGAATTTGCTCGGACGGATGACAGGGAAGACGGTGAGAATGGGGTACTGCCGAACGGATATGTGCACGACGAAGAAGAGGAAGAGGAGGAGTACAATCTCCTAGAAGAAATTTCAGCGCAAGAAGCTTCTTCCGCCGCAGCCGCAAAACCAGCCAGTATGGCCACCAAGAAGAAACGCAAACCTCTCACACTCTCCCGACATGGGATCCCATATCCGCCCTTCTCCCGACCGGCCATCAAGAAGATGGCCACAAAGTTCTCCGGGTCCACCATATCCGCCGACACCCTCGACGCTCTTGCCGCCGCCAGCGAAGCCTTCTTCCAACAGGCGTCGGAAGACCTGGCGGCCTATGCTAAGCACGCGGGCCGAAAAGTCATTGAAGATTCGGATGTTGTTCAGTTACTACAAAGGTGTGTGTGTGCTCTTCCTCTATATTTATTTATTTATTTATTTATTTATTGATGGGTATTTACAAATGTGACAACAGGCAACGCCAGCTCAACTCTCAGACCACGGCCTTTTCCCTTGCCCAACGCCATTTGCCCAGAGAGCTACTCCAGGAGATTCGCATGCCCGTGAGTAAAGTTCGGCCCCGTCGGCGGCAGCGGCAAAGACCGAGCTTGCAAGCTGTCGAGGAGGAGGAGGAGGAGAAGGAGAAGGGGAAGGAGGAATAGATGCACCAGAACCTTAATCTCTAATAATGGACTGAAAATACAATGTATACTGCTATTCTTTTTTCTTTTCTTTTTTTCTCTTCCTGTTATCGCCGTTCATGACCAGTCTGTGCTGTGCCGGACTCTCTTTGCGATGTCTGGTGGGGGTTTGCGAACGAGCATGTAGAACATTACTGAGGTGGCGAGGGCGAGGCCGTACCTGAATTGTAACCATTAGTTAGCATCGTCCATCCCCCTTGCAGAGAGAGGGGGGGGGGAAGGTTACATACCAAGTAACAATATACTGCATATGATTATTCCTCAAATTCACCTCTGCAGTTCTAGCAATGGGCACCCCCTTCTCCACATTCTCCAAAGAAACCACAAAATCCGGCTCCACCGTCTCCTCTATCCAAACCGCCTGAGCCCCAACCAGCCTGGCCATCCCCTCCACATCCGGAAAGTAGAACTCCCCCCTCTCCGGCACGTTGTCCGGCGTGAAGAGATTCTTCTTCCAAGGACTCCTGATAAGCCCCTCGACCGTAACCTCCCCACCGGGCAGACCCTCCGGCCACCGATCCCGATGCGCCCTCTTCCCCTTCGCAATCCACCCACGATTGACCAGCACCTTACTCCCCCCGCCCGCGCGCTCCAGCGGCGTGACGACAAAGTACCCATCCCGCCCCTCGCGCACCCGCGGCCCGATGAGCATCTCCTGGTCGTGGCGGAAGCGGCCGGTAGCAAGGACGCGGCGGTGATCGAAGGAGGGTATCTGGTCCACGTCCACCCGCGGCGGTAACGGCAGCGGCGGCGAGAGGATGCGGGAGGTGTGGGCGGTTATCAGGTCGGTCTTCCAGCCCAGTCGTTGCACCTGCCAGGTCCCCAGGGCGAAGGCGGTTATCGGGATCGCGGCGAGGAGGAGCAGACCGGCGCCGTGCTTCTTCCTCCCCCCGGCGCGGACGAGGGTTGCGGGCTGGTCGAGGATTGAGACGAAGTTTGGGTCGTCGGCGGGGTTGTGGACGCTCCTCCGGGAGTGGAAGTGGAAGTGGAAGTGCGGCTTTGGGAGTTTGTGGGTGCGGATGCGTGCGAGGGGGGGGAATGGGCGGAGGAAGGGGCGCATTTGTTAGTTTGTTAGTTAGTTTTTATGTTTCGTTTTTTTTGTGATTGTGTTGAGAGTGGTTATGATAACCGTAATTTACAGATCCACTGCACTATTGTATGATATTTGTAACCCCTCCAAAGCCCTAACCCACACATGAGGTCAGAATTCACTTTACCGTATGATACTTTAAATTTGTGGCCAGAAAGCCACATTACTCGTGCCAAGGTTGCAGTTAGGGCACTGCAACCCCCAAAAATTCGCTGACTCAGTTTTTGGTGGCACTCATCCTGAGTGCCCGACAGCTCAACATCACTTTGCAGCTCAACATCACTTTTGTGGCTTTGCATCATTTTTGTGGCTCAACATCACTTTTGTGGCTCAATCTCACTTTTGTGGCTCAACATCACTTCTGTGGCTTCATGTATGGTGCGAGGTGTCTAAAAGGTGGACCATCGGCGTTGCACAATGTGACGCCTTATGTCATCAGGGTAAGGGGTGTAGAATACAGAATTTTAATTTTTGGCAGGTCTGAAGCCTGAGTTTACTCGTGCCAAGGTTGTGACTAAGCGTCACAACCCCTGGTTGCTCGCTTGCTCGCAACCTGGGCACTCTCAAGAGAGTGCCTGCCAATTCAACATGACTTGTGGCTCAACACAACTTTTTAGTGGCTCAACACCACATTTTATGGCTTGAAATAAATTTTTATAACTCAATCTTACTTTATAAGTCTGCTGTATAAAATGTTCTAGTTTACTAGTACATGTTTTTTTCAACCTTACTTGTTTCTTAATATCAAGAATTATAAGCCTTAATATTTTTTTATAAGTTAAAATAGTTTCCTACTATTCTTTACATATAAAATTATCTAGAGT